ACCCTCAGGTCAGAAGACACTCAAAATACGACTGGGAAAGAGCTGCCTCATCAGAGTAGTTGTTGTTGTTATGTGCTGCCGAGTTGGACCCGACTCATAGCGACTCCTCCTTGGGTTTCCGAGGCTGTATCACTACAGAAGTAGATTGCCCAACCTTCCTCCTGAGGGGTGGCTGGTGGGTTTGAATACCAGCCTTCTGGTTAGAAGTCAAGTGCCTTAGGCACTATGCTACCAGAGCATCAGAGTAGAGCCAACCTTAATGATGTGGATGGAGGAAAGCTTTCAGGACCTCCATTTGCTGATGTGGCAGAACGCAAAATGGGAAGAAATAGCTGCAAACATCCATTAATAATTGGAACATGGAATGTAAAAAGTATGAATCTAGAAAATTGGAAGTTTTCAAAAATAAAATTGAACACATAAAGATTGATATCTTAGGCATTAGTGGTTTTGGTCATTTGAATCGATACCCATATGATCTACTATGCAAGGAATGACAAATTTTAGTGGAATGGCATGCCATTCATTGTCACAAAGAATGTTTCAAGATCTATCCTGAAGTACAATGCTGTCAGTAATAGGATAATATCCATACATCTATAAGGAAAACAAGTTAATACTACCATTATTCAAATTTACGCATCAATCACCAAAGCCAAAGATGAGGAAATTGAAGATTTTTACCAACTTCTGCAGGCTGAAATTGACGAAACATGCAATCAAGATGTGCTGATTATTACTGGTGATCAGAATGCAAAAATTGGAAACAAAGAAGAATCACCAGTAGTTGGAAAATATGGCCTTGGTAATGGAAATAAAATTGGAGATCACATGATAGAATTTTGCAAGACCAACAGCTTATTCATTGCAAATACCTTTTTTTTGAACAAAACAAACAGCAGCTATACACGTGGACTTCACCAGATGGAGTACACAGGAATCAGATCAACTACATTGGTGGAAAGAGGTGATGAAGAAGCTCAACATCTTCAGCCAAAACAAGGCCAGGAGCTGACTGTAGAAAAGACCACCAGTTGCTCATATGCAAGTTCAAGCTGAAGCTGAAGACAAATAAAAGAAGTCCACAAGAGCCAAAATATGACCTTGATTATATCCCTCCTGAATTTATAGACCATCTAAAGAATAGATTGATGCATTGAACACTAATAACTGAAAACCAGAGGAGTTGTGGGATGACATCAAGCACATCATACATGAAGAAAGTAAAAGGTCATTAAAAAAAACAGGAAAGGAAGACAAGACCAAAATGGATCTCAGAAGAGACTCTGAAACTTGCCCTTGAACAGAGAGTAGCTAAAGCAAATAGAAGAAATGACAAGATAAAAGAGCAGAACAGAAGATTTCAAAGAGCAGCTTGAGAAAACAAAGTCAATTGTTACAATGAAATGTACAAAAACCTGGAGTTAGAAAACCAAAAAGGAAGAAGAACATGCTCAGCATTTCTCTAGCTGAAAGAACTGAAGAAAAATTTAAGCCTCGAGTTGCAATATTGAAAGATTCTATGGGAAAAATATTGAATGATATGGGAAGTATCAAAAGAAGGTGGAAGGAATACACAGAGTCACTGTACCAAAAATAATTAGTCTATGTTCATCCAATTCAGGAGATGGCATATGATCAAGAACCATGGTATTGAAGGAAGAAGTTGAAGCCGCATTGAAGGAATTGGTAAAGAACAAAGCTCCCAGAATTGATGGAATACCAACTGAGAAGTTTCAACAAATAGATGCCATGCTAGAGGCACTCATCTATGCCAAGAGATTTGGAAGACAGCCACCTGGCCAACTGATTGGAAGAGATCCATATTTGTACCCATTCCAAAGAAAGGTGATCCCACAAAATACACAGAGTCACTGTACCAAAAAGAACTGATCGATCTTCAGCCATTTCAGGAAGTGGCATATGATCTAGAACCAATGCTAATGAAGGAAGAAGTCAAAGCTGCAATGAAAGAACTGGCGAAGAACAAGGCTCCAGGAATTGATGGCATACCGATTGAGATATTTCAACAAACAGATGCCCCATTGGAGGCACTCACTCAGTTATGCCAAGAGATTTGGAAGACAGCTACCTGGCCAACTGACTGGAAGAGATCCATATTTGTGCCCATTCCAAAGAAAGGTGATCCCACAGAATGTAGAAATTATAGAACAATATCATTAATATCGCACGCAAGTAAGATCTTACGGAAGATAATTCAGAAACGTTTGCAGCAGTATATTGACAGAGAACTTCCAGAGGTTCAAGCCGGATTCAGAAGAGGACGTGGAACAAGGGATATCATAGCTTTTGTCAGATGGATCTTGGCTCAAGGCAAAGAATACCAGAAAGATGTTTACTTGTGTTTTATTGACTATGCAAAGGCATTTCATTGTGTGGATCATAACAAATTATGGATAACATTGAGAAGAATGGGAATTCCCGAGCACTTGATTGTACTCATGAGGAATCTGTACCTTGAGCAGGAGGCTGTCGTTCGAACAGAACAAGGGGACACTACATGGTTTAAAATCAAGAAGGGAGTGTGTCAGGGTTGTATCCTTTCTCCACACTTATTCAATCTATATGCTGAGCAAATAATCCAAGAAGGTGGACTATATGAAGAAAAACGTGGTATCAGGATTGGAGGAAGAATCATTAACAACCTGAGATATGCAGACGATACAACTTTGCTTGCTGAAAGTGAGGATGACTTAAGGCACCTACCGATGAAGGTTGAAGAATACAGTCTGCAGTATGGATTACTTCTCAATAGAAAGAAAACAAAAATCCTCACAGTTGTGAGGACCAATGAGCAGCATCACAATAAATGGAGAGAAGACTGAGGTTGTCAAAGAATTCATATTGCTTGGTTCTACAATCGATGCCAACAGAAGCAGCAGTCAGGACATTAGACGACGTGTAGCATTGGGAAAGTCAACTGCGAAGGAACTGTTTCAAGTGCTGAGGAGCAAGGATATCTCCTTGAGGACTAAGGTGCGCCTGACACAAGCCATGATATTTCCAATCGCCTCGTATGCATGTGAGAGCCGGACAATGAATAAGGAAGACCGAAGAAGAGTTGATGCTTTTGAGTTGTGGTGCTGGCGAAGAATGCTGAAAGTACCATGGACTGCTAAAAGAACTGACAGATCTGTCCTGGAGGAAGTGCAGCCAGAATGCTCCTTGGAAGCGAGAGTGGCCAGACTTCATCTCACCTATTTTGGTCATGTGGTAAGAAGGGACCAATCCCTGGAAAAGGATGTCATGCTTGGTAGGGTGGAGTGTCAACGAAAGAGGGGGAGGCCTTCAACGAGATGGATTGACACAGTGGCTGCGATGATGGGCTCAAGTATAGCAGGGATTGTGGGGCTGGCGTGGGATTGGGCAGTGATTCATTCTGCTTGCATGGGGTTGCTATGAGTTGGAAACAACTCGACGGCACTTAACAACAACAACAACCCAAGCCATGGTATTTTCAATTGCCTCCTATGCATGTGAGAGCTGGACAGTGAACAAGAAAGACCAAATGAGAGTTGAGCTTTTGAGTTGTGGCATTGGTGAAGAATACCAAAAGCACCATGGACTGCCAAGAGAATGAACAAATCTGTCTTGAAAGAAGTGCAGCTGGAATGCTCCTTGGAACTGAGAATAGCCAGATGTCGTCTCACCTACTTCAGTCATGTTGTTAGAAGGGACCATTCCTTGGAGAAGGATATCATGCTTGGTAAAGTGGAGGGTCAACGAAAAAGGGGAATGCCCTCAATGAGATGGGTTGACACAGTGGCTGCAATGATAGGCTCAGGTATAGTAAGGATTGTGAAGTTGCCGCAGGACTGGGCAGTGTTTCGTTCTGTTTTACAGAGGGTCATTATGAGTCAGAGATGACTCGACTGCAGCTAACAACAACAACAACAACCAGTAAGTGCTGAGCTCCAGCTCTCCCAGTCATTGATGCAGGCGGGATTCAAAAAGTCAGACCTGATTGCTTTTGGCTAAAGTTGGCTGCAAAGCTTTCAGATGATATCAAACAAGATGACCATTTGAACAATCTGAAATTCAAACTAAGGGCTGATTCAGAAGTTGGTCTTATGAATGGAAACCATCAAATCACTGTATCAAAATATCATCCTCAATGTGGCAGCATTTGGATAGTTTTTTAAATGATATGACTAGAATCATTGGGAGCTCTGGTAGCGTAGTGCCTAAGGCACTTGACTGCTAACCAGAAGGCTGGCGGTTCAAACCCACCAGCCGCTGCTCGGAAGGAAGGTTGAGCAATCCTACTTCCATAATGATACTGCCTCGGAAACCCAAGGAGGGGTCGCTATGAGTTGGGCCGACTCGACGGCATATAACAACAACAATGACTAGAAAGACACAACATTATGCCCATGTCTGCTAGAGGAGAAAAAACAAAAAAAGACCTTTTCTGGAAATGTTCCTGAATACTTTTTAAGAACTATTCCAGGAAACTTCAGGTGTAGTTCCAGTTATAGAGAGCAGAATAAAAGATACTATGGAAGATATACTACCCCATTTTTTTGTTTTGTTTCCCCAGTTTCCATGGAGTCTTTCTGACTTGTGGCAACCCCATGTGTGTCAGAGTAGAACTGCATTCCATAGGATTTTCAATGGCTGGTTTTTCCAGGTTTTTCTTCCCAGGAACCTCTGGGTGGACTTGAAATTTCAACCTATCAATTAGCAGCCTTGTGCTTAACCATTTGCACCATGGCTCCTACACTAGCCCAGGGGCTTTGCAAAGACAAGTTCCATGTGAGATTAAGGGTTTGCAATCCTGAAGCTCAGGAACTACACTCAGCTTCTTTCCTCTTCACGCTCATCCAAACCTAGCTCTGCCAAACAGCCTGGTCCTCTCAGAGACATCTATCCCCCCAAGAGTTGACAAAGGCACTTGGGCACAACAATCATCATTGAGTCCTGCATCCCTGGGTCATGATGAGACCTCTCTTCCCCAAATGAAATTCAAGGATCCTTACCTTCACAGAGGTGAGATTTTGTTTCTTTCTTGCTTTCAAAATTGGGAAGGATGTCAAATTACGTTTCCTTGGCTTTTTAGCATCCATTTTGGTTCTGCAGAAGGGACGATAAAAAATAAGTTGGCAAGAGAAGTAAAATATAATGATCTATACACCCAGGGATGGGAAGAAAGCTTGCAGGAAAGAAGGTGGCAGTCCTAGACACAGGGGCAGAGTATCTGCTTCTCCTTCTATTTCCCTTCTGGTGGTCAGATGAAGTCAGGAGAGGGGACAGCTTGGCATCCTGGTAGTGCTCAGTGCAGAGGGAGAGACAAGAGCAAGGACAGGAAGATGAGATAAAGAGGTGGTTCACATTCTAGACACCATGCAAAGAGACCCATCTTCCCTAGCTAACTGCAAATTAAACTACATTTGCTTGCCACAATCAACCTTTTCCCTAAAATATACCTATATGAGTGACTATTTGGACACTCTGGTAGCACAGTATCTAAGGCACTTGACTGCTAACCAGAAGGCTGGCAGTTCAAACCCACCAGCCACTGCTCGGAAGGAAGGTTAGGCAATCTACTTCCGTAGTGATACTGCATCGGAAACCCAAGGCAGGGTCGCTATGAGTCGGGGCCGACTCGATGGCACAGAACAACAACAGCAACAAATGCCTATAGAAAAGAAAAGGAGGACAATGGGTAGAAATCCTTCCCTTGGATGTCATTCTGCCATTTTGCACCATCTTCAGAGCACAGCCTTATAAATATTCAACTCACTGCAAGATGAAAAGAACAAGTCAGGTCATTTTATGGAATCCTGTTAAAACAAACTTATAAAATGAGGAGACTGGACTAGATGGCCTCTAAAGTCCCTTCCAAGCATAAGCATCTTTGATTCAAATTCTATGAAAACACTAGCACACTGAGAAAATCATTCTGCTGTGACTATTCCATAATCACCACCTTGGAAAATTCTGTGGACTCTTATTTTGTACCTTTTTTTCCTTATGCAGTCAATAAAAACACCTAGCTAGTACTCAAAGCTTTGCAAACTACTTTTTATCCCCAAAATGTGGTAAATGTGTAGGAAAAGAATTAAAATACTTTTTATATTTTGTACCTTATTGCACAAAGAATTGAAGAGAACTAATAAACTAAACACACACCAAGAGTGAATGTTTCTTTAAGCACTAAAACTAAACATTTAAATTTCCTCTGTATTTTCTAATCAGAAGGCTGGCGGTTCAAACCCACTAGCCACTCCTCGGAAGGAAGGTTGGGCAATCCTACTTCCGTAGTGATACTGCCTCGGAAACCCAAGGAGGGGTCGCTATGAGTCGGGGTTGACTCGACGGCACATAACAACAACAACAACAACAACTGTATTTTCTTACAGGCAGATCAGGATTCCCTGCCTCTCCAGACCACACCGATCCCTTTCCCCTGGATTTCAACAGTACTTCTGTCTGTGGAAGGAGCTCTGGTGGTGTGGTGGTTAACCATTTGACTGCTAACCAAAAGGTCAGTGGTTAGAACCCATTGGCTACTCTGTGGAAGAAAGATGAAGCAATCTGCTTCTGTAAAGATTCACAGAATTGAAAACTCAATGAATGGGGTTTGCTGTGAGGTGGAATCACTCGATGGCGGTAGGTTTGTTTTTTTTTTTTGTTTTGTCTGTGGAGCTCATTTTGTCACTTGGTTAACAGTTTCAGTGTTACTTGATTATCTTAGGGGTTTTTTTTTTTTTTTTGGTCTCATCCTATTGTCTCTTGGGGCAAGGATGGCACGCTTATATTTTTCTATATTCCTTATAGAGGTCAGGACAGTGTCTTGTCAATTGATTGCCATGGTGTGGTGAATTACTTAATAAGGATCCCCTAGCCATAGTCTTTAATTCCCACCAAATGATGGGTAGGACTATGCAAATGTGAGGTGCTGTGGCCCACCAAGAGGCTTGGATAGTTTGCTACTAGTGTAAATAAGGTACCTGGCACCCTTATGTGGGCAGGACCATGCAAATTAAAGGGTATGGAACCCTAATGTGGACATTGGTCTGTTTTGCCATCCCATTAGGCTTAAAATGTGCCATCCCAGAGGCAGAAAGGAGGGACCTGACTACCAAGAAGAGACAGGAGAAGAATGCATCCTTTGGACCCAGGCTCTCACACTGGGAACCTCTTAAATCTAGGAGACAGAAAGTTGTAACACTGGAGAGAGCAAGAGATGGCAAGGATTGGCAGCAGAGAAATGGCAGCAGCAGAGGCTGCAGAAGCAAGAGATGACACATAGTGGGGTTCCAGGCCCATGAAGTGAGAGAGCTGGCCGCTTTTGGGCAGGAGGCCTGCTGGCCCAGTGGAGTGCTTCAGGTCACTTGGTGGAGTTAGGTTTGTTGACCCATGGAGCTAGGGCTGAGCACGTTCAGGCCAAGACTTACTGGTGTAGTGGGGTGTCTCTGGGTACTTACTGGCAGAGCTAAAGTAGTTTTGTAACACTTGCTCAAGCAGGGCAAAGCCCAAGGGGCCATGGGACCAGGAGGCTGAGGGCCAAAGAGAGGCATGCCTATGGGCAGTGCTGAGAAGAAGCTGTCTTGATTGAAGAACTATATCATGAGTCATTTCTGATCCTGAATTATGACCTGTTACTTTCCTAATAAGTTACATAATAACGAGTATTGTCTGTGAGTTCTATGTGGTCATTGCAATGAATTATCTAACCCAGTAGAGAAGTAGAGAGTACCAAGGGAGGGGCAGTTGATGTCAGAATTGATAAAAAACCTCAGAGGGTGGAGATATGTCTGATCTCCACCCTCCACCTGGTAGGAATCAGCTTTGGATTATTGATCTTATCTTTGTCTCCCTTTATGAAATTAGAGGAAGTTAGATGCCTCCCACACACACACCATTTTTACAGTTGGTGTCAGATCAGAAGAGGGATTCATTGTAATAGCTCCAGATGCACAAAAGTACAAGACTTTGTAAAAGAAAGGATGAAGGGACATGAGAAGTGAAATATTTGATTCTTAGATGGTTACTTTAGTTGTTATCGCTACTGGCTGAAAAGAAAGGAAAAGATGTTGTGCTGCAGCTGAAGGGAGAAAAGCTGAATCTGGAGTGGCCTGAGGCAAAAGCCAGGCTGATCAAAGGAGATAATTGATAGGGGGCCAGGGTCTCCTTGTTCTATCCAGCCAGATGCCCAAGGCCATCAGCATATGAATGGAAAGACAGTCAAGGTGGAGAGAAGAGAAGATGAATTTAGAATGTTTTTAAAAGGGTTACGCATTTATTTGAATGTGCCATGGATATTGAATGTTTTTCCTACTTTATAACTGCTTTGGACTGATAAAATGATTGGCAGGGGGAAGTTAATCCTTCAGATATGAAAGGGCCAATAGCTAAAAGAGCCAGAAGGTGGCCTGAGGTGCAGTGAATTACTTAATATGCCATTCTAGCCATATCTTTCTAATTTCCACCAAATGACCAGGTCATAGTGACCCCCACTGGGTTTCCAGGTAGTAAATCTCCATAGAAGCAGATCGCCCCATCTTCCTTCTGCAGAGCAGCTGGTGGGTTTGAACTTCTGGTTACCAGCCAAATGCCTTAGGCACTGTGTCACCAGAGCTCAAATGACTTGGTTGTTGTTGTTGTTATGTGCCCGTCGAGTCAAACCTGACTCATAGCGACCCCTCCTTGGGTTTCCGAGGCAGTATCACTACGGAAGTAGGATTGCCCAACCTTCCTTCCGAGGAGTGGCTGGTGGGTTTGAACCGCCAGCCGTCTGGTTAGCAGGCAAGTGTCTTAGCCACTATGCTACCAGAGCTCCCAAATGACTTGGTAGGACTAGGCAAATGTGAGGTGCTTGTAGCCCACCAAGGCTTGCTAACAAAATAAATAAGGTACATGGCACCTTTGTATGGAGTTGTTGTTGTTAGGGGCCATCAAGTCAGCTCCAACCCATAGCAACCCTATGTACAACAGAATGAAACACTGCCTGGTCCTGTGCCATCCTCTCAACCCTTGCTATACCCAAGCCCATCATTGCAACTATGTCAATACATTTCATTGAAGATCTTCCTCTTTTTCACTGATTGTCCATTTTACCAAGCATGATATTCTTCTCCAGTGAACATTCCCTCCTGACAACATGACCAAAGTAGGTGAGATGAAGTCTGGCTATTCTCATTTCCAAGGAGCATTCTGGCGGCATTTCTTCCAGGACAGATTTGTTAGTTCTTCTAACAAATCTGGTCCATAGTCCTTTCGGTATTTTTTGCCAACACCACAACTCAGGAGCTCTGGTCGCATAGTGCCTAAGGCACTTGACTGCTAACTAGAAGGCTGCAGTTCAAATCCACCAGTCACTCCTTGGAAGGAAGGTTGGGCAATCTACTTCCATAGTGATACTGCCTCAGCAACCCAAGGAGGGGTCGCTATGAGTTGTCTGACTCCAGGGCACATAACAAAAACAACAACAACTCAAAGCATCAACTCTTCTTCGGTCTTCCTTATCCAGCTTTCACATGCATATGAGGTTATTGAAAACACTTGAAAAACATGGCTTGGGGTAAGCTCACCTTACTCTTCAAAGAGACATCTTTGCTCCCTCCTTCCACATCCTCTTCTGAATCCAGCTTGCATTTCCGGAAATTCGCTTCAATATACTGCTGCAACCATTTTAAAATTATCTTCAGCATGATTTTACTTGCTTGTGATATCAATGATATTTTTCTATAATTTCCATATTCTGTAGGATCACCTTTCTTTGGAATGGGCACAAATATGGAACTCTTCCAGTCAGTTGGCCAGGTAGCTTTCTTCCAAATTTCTTGGCATAGATGAGTAAATGCCTCCAGCAAAGCATCCATTTGTTGAAACATCTCAATGGGTACTCCATCAATTCCTGGAGCCTTGTTTTTGCCAATTCCTTCAATGCAGCTTCAACTTCTTCCTTCAATACCATTGTTTCTTGATGATACACTACCTCCTGAAATAGATGAGCATTGATCAATTCTTTTTGGTAAAGTGACTCTGTGTATTCCTTCCATCTTCTTTTGATGTTTCCTGCATCATTAGATATTTT